AACTAGCAGAACTGACTCAGTGTAGGCCCGGCTGTTTTAAACATGTTGTGCTATGGACTTGGTTCCAGAACCAAATCATGCGTAAAGGCACTACAATTAGTAAGAATCTGAAGTTCATTCATTAACAGATGTCCATGGTAGTAGTTTGTGGCTAATAGAGAGTTTTGGCAAGGCCTTCCGTACGACGTATAACGTGCGACGTCATCACTTTGTGCGTAGTTTTTCTCAAGGACAAGTCATAAGTCATACGACACTACGTATGAATCGGTGATTACACGTAGGTAAGAAACGTATCGAATTTAATAGATTTACGCTTATTTCTTTCAAGTTTAACACACTGCAGAGGAATATATAGGGTGTTAAGATTCCACTGAATCACTTTTAGACGCTGTCGGTAGAAATACCCTGTGAAAACAGCTGGAAAAACCGCCAGTCAATCAGTCGTCCGTAGTAGTATCAAATTCAATTTAAGTTGATTTTTTCATAAACAACAGGATCTGCGGCATCAATTGACGTAAATAACACATTCCATTCAACATCTTAATTATTCATCTATCTAAAAAGAATCCAAATATTATAATATTTATATATAATATAAATAAAAATAATATTAAAAAAAAAACGCATACGGAGTGAGACCTGCCAAAACCACTGCTAGCTTTCTTGCATACGTAAAACGTATTACGTATTGAACTATACGTTACACGTCATACGGAAGGCCTTGCCAAAACTCTCTATTGTATCTCATCTGTTGAGAGGTTCTGCACAGCATCAGCAATGAAACAAGCTGCAGTTTTGACAAATTTTTATCTGTATACGTTGATCACAATGGACATTGCATAGGAAGTGTGCAGTAACATTTATTTTGGTAATGTGTGAATAGTTATAAACAAATACCCCGTTTACACTGCAGTCATTTACAAGAACTTTTCAGCTTCAACTGGCTAATTGTCACTACATTAATTTGCAGTATTACTAATACATTGGGCATGCATAAAGCTTATTTATTGAATATTAAGTACTCCTTTCCTTTTATCCAGAAACACAACATCAACAAGGACGACTAAAGCTGCAGAGTACAAATTAAAAACCTAAAACAAAAATACAGAAAACATAAATACGCACTTAGGAAGAGTGGTGCGGGAGTGATGGGGGAAGAGTACTTCCCCTATTTTGAGGCCCTTGATGTGGTCCTGGGATGCCGGGCTTCATCAGAGCCTCTTGTCCTCTTGGACATGTCCTGCCATTGTAAGTGATCTCTTGAATTCCACTTATTGATTGCAATCATGTTATTATTATTATTANACTGGATTTAGAAGGTTGGTTTCAATAAATTAAAATTAAATGCATTTGGAGATAGTTGGGGAAATGTGGGGTATCTGGAACAAGAGTATTAAGTTTTGGATGATGAGAAGGATAACTAGCAGAACTGACTCAGTGTAGGCCCGGCTGTTTTAAACATGTTGTGCTATGGACTTGGTTCCAGAACCAAATCATGCGTAAAGGCACTACAATTAGTAAGAATCTGAAGTTCATTCATTAATAGATGTCTATGGTAGTAGTTTGTGGCTATTGTATCTCATCTGTTGAGAGGTTCTGCACAGCATCAGCAATGAAACAAGCTGCAGTTTTGACAAATTTTTATCTGTATACATTGATCACAATGGACATTGCATAGGAAGCGTGCAGTAACATTTATTTTGGTAATGTGTGAATAGTTATAAACAAATACCCCGTTTACACTGCAGTCATTTACAAGAAATTTTCAGCTTCAACTGGCTAATTGCCACTACATTAATTTGCAGTATTACTAATACATTGGGCATGCATAAAGCTTATTTACTGAATATTAAGTACTCCTTTCCTTTTATCCAGAAACACAACATCAACAAGGACGACTAAAGCTGCAGAGTAAAAATTAAAAACCTAAAACAAAAATACAGAAAACATAAATACGCACTTAGGGAGTGATGGGGGAAGAGTACTTCCCCTATTTTGAGGCCCTTGATGTGGTCCTGGGATGCCGGGCTTCATCAGAGCCTCTTGTCCTCTTGGACATGTCCTGCCATTGTAAGTGTTCTCTTGAATTCCACTTATTGATTGCAATCATGTTATTATTATTATTGTGTATTATTTATATATAAATAATTTTATCCTAAAGTTTTACTGTTCATTAATAAGAATAAAATGTTTTGTTTAAAAAAAGTGAAATTAGAACAAAAAACTTCTTTAAAGAAATAATTATTTTCTAGCTAAGGAAAGTGATGAAGAAATTGACAGTGAGAGCCAGGAAAGCCAGCAGAGTCTGATGAGGAAACCCCAAGAGATGAAGATAAAAAGCCTAAAGTGAAAAAACCATTCAAGAATAGTAAGCAGCCTTTTATTCTCCCAATATTGAGAAGGGGGTGAAATTGTTTTGTTTCAAGTGACATTTCATGCTATGATCAAAACAAAGCAATACAAAACCAACTTCAGTGTCCTTCATATTATTTGTCCACATGTCAGCAACAGTACGAAGGAGTAATGATACTTTAAATTGTAAATTTTTAGACATTATTTCAACACAAAAATGAAACCTTGGATAATAAGGTAATAATTTTTTTAATGTTTCTAAAAACCCCCACCTTGTCTTATATTTTTGCAGCTGCAAACAAGAAAAGAAAGGAGTAAGAGGCAACTGACCCAACAAAAACCCTGTTTACATATTAGTTAAGAAGAACATTCGTGCACTGATGATGACATGAATGAAACTGAGGAAAATGTAACTGAACACAAACCAGGAGTTGAAGATAGTGTAGATGCAGAAAGTGAAGATGACATTGTTGGCATTAGCATATGACAGCTGTTTGGAACCTTTGGATCTTTGTGCTGATGTACTTAGTGAGCTTGAAAACCATATATATTCAGTAGCACCAGCTGAAGAGAACAAACCACATTCTATTTTGCATACGCCACATGATGAAGCAATTGCTTTCCCTGCATTATTTCCTCACAGATGTGGTCATTTTAATGATGAAAGAGAAACAAAGATAACAAGAGCTAAATAGATCAATGCAAGATTGTTCAACACAGATTTGCTAAAAACTCGGGATACATATTCTACTGTCACGCTGTGACTGAGCTAGCTAACATGCTCTCAGGAATAAGTATTCAAACACGCAAAGGTGTGGCTTCTAAAAATGGACTAAACATATAGGCCGGTATGCTAGCAGATCATGAACAAGTGTACAACATGCTGAAATCTGATCAAGGGTTTTTTCTCATATGTAATCAGTTCGAAGATCACCAGAATATTAGAGAAAGACAATGAATGATTTGTTTGCAAAGATTTGTCAAATCGGAACACCAACTTGGTTTTGTGTGTTCAGTGCAGCAGAACTCTCAAGGTGGCCACAGGTGATTGACACCGTTACCAGACAAAATGGAAAGCCTCTTGATTTTGAAACAATCAGTTTCAATGAAAAAGCAGAAATCATAAGGTCTAATTATGTAACAACCATCAGAATGTGGTATTCTCGAGTTCAACATTTCCTGAGATTCTTGCAAAGTCCAGCACATCCTCTTGGAGTCACTGAAGATTACTTTATCAGAACTGAATTTCAGATGTGTGGCAGTCCCCACGTTCATTGCTTGTTCTGGGGAGAAAATGCTCCAAAACTTGATACCAACACTAATGAGGAAGTTTGCAATTTCACTGACCAGTAAATATATCTTGTCAATTGCCAGGTGAAGAGCAAAACCCAGTTATATGAACTAGTTAGTGCTGTGCAGACTCATAGCAAGATGCACTCAAAATCATGCAAGAAGGGCAAGAAGATATGTCGTTTCAACTTTCCTAAACCTCTAGAATCTAGAACATCAATTGTCAGACCCAAGTTACAGGATGAAAGCACAACAGAACAAACATAAGACAAGGTCAATCCAGCCACGGTGAAAAAATATCTTGCAAGGATGAACTTACTGTACTGTACTGTTTCTGTAGGAAACAGTGGCAGCAGCGCTTTATGATCCAGTGTGATCACTGTGGTGAGTGGTACCATGGCTCCTGTGTAAACATAACACCTACAGAAGCTCTGGATATCCTCACATACAAGTGTGCGGATTGTAAGGATCGAGGCCAGTAGAAACCTCTGTCGAGATATTTGAAAAGATAGTAACACTGTACCTTTATCTTTTCAGATAACATGGACAACGATATTGACATGGCCCAGGAGGCAGTTTTGCTTGGAGAGGTCCAGGGGGACATTGGGGCTGAGGAACCTAGCGTTCCAGCCGCTGTAGCTACCCCCAGTGTAACACCAGCAATAGCAACAGGGAGTACGGCCCGTAGTGCTCTCAGTGAGACTCCTGAGGCGGCCAGGTATGGTTCAGTAAGTTGGGCAGAGCAGGTGGAGCTGAGTGAGAGGCCCACCAGACGAACGAGGCGTGGTAGACGCTCGAGGCGTAAGTCTACTGCCGCCATGGCAGCGACTCCCTCTGATGCGACCATGCCCTCTCCCAACCTTCAGGTAACGTTAGGTACCACTAACAAAGTAGTGGAGCGGCAGGTGGCAGTACCACCACCTCCCCGCCGCGTTGCCATGACTGCGGTTGGTATGCGGGCTCCCTCCCTTCGTGGATGTCCGGTCCCTGACTGTGGGGGCCGAGAAACAGAGGCCCATGCATTTGAGGCCCATTTGCCGCACATTTTCCTGGACAGTCTCTCCGGTCGGGATGTGGTAAGTAGGCAGACAGAAGCCCTGAAATTCCTCATCTCCTCACTGATGGGGGCCCAAGCCACCCTGGCTCAGTTGGTGCGTTATGGTGAGGCCCTGGGGTTTCCAGAAGGGAATGAGGAGGTCAGTTCTCAGTTGGCACTGGCCATAAGAGTTTGGTGCCCTGTTCGGCCAATCTGAGGGGCCCTTCCAGATGTTGGCCCACAACAATGGCCCGCAAGCCCTCCTTCATTGGTGGTTTCTATTGAGGGTAGCTGCCCTCCTGGAGAAGAGTCAGCTTTTCCGATGGCGAGACCTTTTTCCCCTCTCGGAGGAAGAGCGTCTGCCCATACGCCCCGCCTCCCTGAGGGCTTTGATGCTCACTTTCACCTTGACCGGACCTCACTTCGGTTGGGGTTAAAGGGCCTGTCCCTCCAACAAGTTGTCCAGGGCAAGGACAAGGATTCCCTGTATCCGTTCACCCTCACAGGAGGAACGGCCGTGTTCTGTGATCCAGACACATGGCCGGACCCCAAAGAGTTGCCCGCTCTCAGAAGAATGGGGTTAGTGCTGGCAGTGGGGCTCCACCCCAAGAAGGTGGCCAGCAGTACGCAATTTGCCTGTCTGGAGACTCTCCTTTCCTCCCCAAATGTGTCTGCTGTGGGAGAGGTGGGGATTGATCACACAGCTCCCCCAGGCGAGTGGGTCGGCCAACGACTCCGGCTAGAAAAGGTTCTCCAATTGTTGACCCCTGCCAAGATTCTAGTTCTGCACTGCAGAGGTCTGCCAGGAGGTGAGGACGACGCACTGTTCTCCCTCCTGATGCACCTGCAGTGCATCCCCATTAGTGCCACTCAGCTTATACACCTGCACCACTTCCAGGGGTCTATGGGGGTCTTGCGGCGGTGGATTCAGTCCTACCCTAACACCTATTTTGGGGTAGGGTCCCGCGCAGACTCTCTCCCTGGAAGAAGAGTGGCGGTGGCGGAGCTGCACAGGAGTAGGGTCTTGCTGGAGTCCGACTCTCCGCACTTCCCATGCAAGCCCAACAGGCATGGGACTCCAGCAGACCTGGGGTGGACGGGTGCGATGATTGCACCCATCTGGGGTTGCACCTGGCAGGAGGTACTGGCCATCACGGCCAGGAACGCCAGGTGTCTGTATGTGGACGGGCTCCCGCCCGAGTCCACGGGGCAGTAGTGTTTTGATAGTGACCCCGGCTGAGAAGTGGTGCCACTCAGTGGGGGCTTGCCCAGGGCCCTCTCTGGTCATGCCATGTGGCCAGGGTAGGGCGCACCATGGCATGGTGGGCTCAGTGCCCAGCAGGCTGAAGACTAGGACCACCTTTATTTAGAAGAGGGGGCAGTGTAGTGGCGCCGACCCCAGAACCGGTAGTGGAGTCGGCCCATGCGCAGCGGGCGCCCCCGCACTCGACGTCAGCATCACACCATAGAAGTAGAGAAAACCTTCAGGTAGGCATATCTTCCCCCGATCGTGTGTTTAAGTTGCACATTGGCACATTATTGAAATAAAATTCATAGTGGATCCTGCAGCAAGGAGCCTTTATCTTAGTCTTATGTCTTTTAGCAGTCCAATAAATATTTAAAAAAACTAATTGTAGATTGCTGATGCCACATCACAGGAAGAATACCAGGAGTTAACAGATGACCCCCTAGTGGATCTAGCAGGCTGCACTGCCTTGGGACTGTCACTGAAGGACAGAGATGATTTAGTAACAGACTTGGTGCACTTCTTTGCCATTGGAAGGCATGGCCTTGCCATTAGCCAGTAAGTAAAGAATGATGTGACTAAATCCATTGCCTGCTACAATCAAAGTTGAAAAAAAAAAAAAAACAGTTATATGAACTAGTTAGTGCTGTGCAGACTCATAGCAAGATGCACTCAAAATCATGCAAGAAGGGCAAGAAGATATGTCGTTTCAACTTTCCTAAACCTCTAGAATCTAGAACATCAATTGTCAGACAAAAGTTACAGGATGAAAACACAACAGAACAGACACAAGACAAGGTCAATCCAGCCACGGTGAAAAAATATCTTGCAAGGATGAACTTATTAACTTATTAAAGCTTGAAATAAATTTCATAGTGGATCCTGCAGCAAGGAGCCTTTATCTTAGTCTTATGTCTTATAGCAGTCCAATAAATATTAAACAAAATTAATCGTAGATTGCTGATGCCACATCACAGGAAGAATACCAGGAGTTAACAAATGACCCCCTAGTGGATCTAGCAGGCTGCACTGCCTTGGGACTGTCACTGAAGGACAGAGATGCTTTGGTAACAGACTTGGTGCACTTCTTTGTCATTGGAAGGCATGGCCTTGCCATTAGCCAGTAAGTAAAGAATGTTGTGACTAAATCCATTACCTGCTACAAGCAAAGTTGAAAAAACCAGTTTAAAAATTCAGTTATGTGATAAAATGTTCCAATTAAAAACTGATGGGAAACTTACATAACTAAAAATTGGTATCTGGTATTGAATTTATTTGATGTTTCAAAATATTTGTCAAGTGATTGAAGTTTAACCCTAAGTTAGCATGGATTGATTTGCACTTTTTGAGCAATGTTATACAAGAGAGATAAAATGAAATCCCATCTTTAGTCTACTTTAACTTTTCTAGGTTTGAGAAAGGTCTTAAGACACTTGGAGTTTTAGATGCAATCCGACAGTATCCAAATGTGATGAGGAAGGCTTACGTATATGAGCCCGAGGTACTCACATTATCGTAAATAGAAAGTCTATTTGACATCAAGTGGTCACCAGAAGGCACCAACAAAAGAAATGCAGAAGAGCAAATCCTGATGACATATAGGCCCTGGCTCAGCACATGATAAAACCAGTTGAAAGGACACTAAGAGAAGTGAGAGACATGTTTGAAAGAGGCTGTACCAGGGCTTTATTTACAGGGACAGTTACAAGGGTATGACTAATTCTACAACCCTCATTTGCATATGAGATCACGTGAGATGCACAAAGCTTCCCAGAAGTCAATGTACAGTTTACTTCTGGAAGTCTATACACGCGATCTTAGAGCTGCAAAAAATTTAGTCTGATTTATAAACTGGACAATTTTAAGATAGAGAGAGATGACAAGCAACTTGTTTCCATCTCTGTACTGTGTAAAATCTACTTTGAGCGTTAGCTTAGCCTCACACACGCCATTTCAATTTAGCGTTGGTGGTTGAACACCAACTGAACAAAGGAACCGTAAGTAGCAGCAACTGATGTGGTCTGTACTATTATAGGCGAGATGGACAAATCGCGCTCAAGAAGCGAGCACCAGAAAAATGAGAAAAATCAACAAACTCGAGAGGGCGATCGGCAGTAAATCTGCCAGTGGGAAAAAAGAAAGCGGCAGAAAGCCAAGAGAGAAAGATCACCAAATAACAGCTACAGCGAAAAAAGGGACGACCACCAGATCCCAGGACAGGGCCAGCTCCGATCCCACAGAAACAAAGCCCAAAGAGGTCATATACTCGCTTAGGGAGCTTGAGAGCTCATGTGTCGCCTCAGTTGAAGTTGTTGATGGCGGTGACGTGATAACCATAGAGGGTCCCATAACTATGCAGGGGCTGCAGGCTCAGGTAGACACGCTGACAAATGCTATGTCAAAAATTTTGCCAGTGGTGCAGAGGATCAGTGCCACTATGGATGCACATGGCTCGTAGGGCGAGGATGGCAACATAGATGAGAAGGAACATTTTATCGATGAGTCACATGATCACTCAGCGGCAAGAAATGACGCCACAGCTGGCGATGACGATTTGCTGGCCCTGCTGACACAATCTCTTAAAGCCAAAGAAGCATGCGGCCCAGCTGTGGATGCTGAATTAGCAGAAAAAATTAATACTATGATGTCGACTGGTATATCTGACCATCGACTCACAGAAGTGAAAGAGAAATACTTGTGACCGGACAACTGCTGGGCTCACGCTAGCCGCTCGCAACGTTCGCTATAGCGAGTCGCATTTCAGAAATGTGAAAACAAAATTTTACTGGTTCGCAAATTTTGTGAAACTGTTTAAACAAAAAAAATGTTAGTCACCTTTCAGTGCGTTTGCTTTGATTTTACCTTGAAAAAAAAAATAGAAGTCACCACGCTGCTGTTTACGTCGTTGCCTACGTCCAAGTGAAAGTAAAAATATAGATGCCTCCATTTCGACTTCTGTTTCATGCAGAGAGACTAATTGAAAACGAGGCAACAATCTAGAGACGGTGCTCCGGATTGTGTGATGTCATGTGTGTCTGGGTTTAGCCTTGTAGGTGTAAAAATAAACTAAAAATGATTTAAAAAATAATTAACAAATAAATGTATGTATAATAATTATCCTCCGCCCATGTGTTTAACGGGATTAGGCAACCGAATTTTCAGTGCGGGATAGCCCGCACTAGCAGTCAGCACATGGTGCTCAACATGACGCAATGAACGATGTGTTATTTTTGAAAAGGTAAGGTGATTTTTTATCTGATACGTAAAACAAAATTGTATTGCATGATAAATTTAAGCTTCGGAATGTCAAATGAAAAGTGAAAAAATAATTTTTCAGTAGTCGAAGCGTATTTTGCTGTAAGTTAGTTATTTTCAACAGTGAAAGGTTTACAATGGTCCACGTATTTCCGTCTTCTGATCTGTTCTTGTCTTCGGGTGACTTATTGTCGTCTGTCTTGTATTAATGAAAATTTTGGTAAATTTATTTTGCTTTAACAGTTTGTTCCCAAAGAAAAATTTTCTTCTAAAAATGCTTACACGACCACGTGATGATCGATGCCGTGTGCACCAAGCAATTAATCATGTTTAGGGACATAAGTGCGTTCTTAATTTTTTTTTTGTGTGGGGGACATAATGATTAAATCGATGAAGTATTACCATGATTGGAAAGTAAATAAAGCCATGTGTACAATTTTGTTAAATAGTGTTTATTTTGCAATTTCAGTTGCCATTTGTGATTGTGATGAATTTTGCATTGTCATGTCATCAAGCAGTAAGGATTGCTTGTAATAAGGCTAAGCCAAGTAAGCAGTCCAAAACTGAATCGTTTTTCAACTTTGATTCACCAGTTCAGACAACCTCAGTGTCAGCTTTACCTACCAACACAGGAGACTCTGTATCAGTAACTTCCCGTAACTTGGCTGCTGTCACCACCAGTGAACAAACCGTCTTGGCAAATACTCAAACAAGACATAGTTTCAAAAGTAGTTGGCTTCTGCAATTTAAGTGGTTGGTTAATGAAAACAGTGAGCTTAAATGCAAGGTGTGTGTTGCTGCAAAAAAAGATAATGTTATGACCAAAGGAAAGCCAGATGATTCTGCTAAGAAAGATGATTTTGTAAAGCATGAGAAGTCTGCAGACCATAGATCAGCTCTTCGACTACCTTTCATGCAAAAAGGCATGAAGGAGGCAACAGTGAAGGCATACGATTCTGTGAAGGCAGCCATTGTTGCTCAGATGGCAACAGTATTAATGCAGGCCCAAGAAGCAATTCCATCTGTAAAAAAACATAGTCTGCTGAGACTTCAGATTTTCAATGTAAGAATAAGTTGAATTCCAAGTTAATTTGTATTTGTAAATTGACCATAGACTGCTAGACTTCCATATTTATTAGATAATTGTTGATTAAATGTTATTTTAATTGATAAGTACAAGTTACTTTTCTAGATAATTTAGGATTATTGTGTGGTCTATTGTTATTCTCTGATGTAGCAATTTGGCATAATCAAACAAAATTATAACAACTCATTTATAAAACAATATTTTTTAAATTAACTTAGATTTTAACTATAAATTCTCTACATGGTGTCAACAGCCTAAAGCATCTTTATTCTGGTGATGGTGGTTCTTATCAACACAATGACTCAATCAATGACTTCTACTCCATTATGGCTGAAATGCTGACAGAAGATCTACATGCAGATAGAATGAGTAGTCCATATCCATTCTATGGAATTGAAGTTGATGAGGCCACTGATGTAGGCAGCAAGTCTATCATTGTGGTGTTTTTAAGATTTGTTGAACCACCAGCAGTCCCAAAAATCTACTGGTCCTGCCATCACAACATTTCTATATAAAGACACACGCGTACATGAACGAACACTTCAATCGCAGAACACAGGCAGCATTAGACCGATCACTACTAGTCAAAGGATTGTGCATGCCTCATATTTCCACCACCATGAACGTC